AAAAATCCCAAAAAAAAAAAAAAAAAAAAAAAAAAAAAATTGTAAGAATATAAAATTATGTATTATTTCTTATTTTTTCTAAATAATTTCTTAAGGTAAATAAAATCCATGGTTGGTTATATAGTTTTTTTAAAAAAATAAAAGATAAACAAAAACAATTATATGTCTTCTAAAATATGGAAAAAAAAAAAAAAAAAAATAAATAAATAATAAAAAACTTGGTAAACATTAAGGAAATTCTTTCAATCTTTTTTAAGATATATTTTATGTAATATATCATTCCTATTCTTTTGTTTTTTTACTAAAATTTTGTCTTTTTCAAAAATTCCTTATAAATTTAGTTATTTATTTATTTATTTATTTTTTTTTTTTTTATTTTATCTTAAATCTTGTAATTTAACAAATACTATTTTATTTATTTCTCTTTTTCTGTTTTTATGTTTTTTAAAACATAGTTCTACTGTTTTATATTTTAGAATATAATGAAAATTTACTTTATCATTCCAATTAATAACTATTTTAAATTATCTTTAATTTTTTTTAGATTATAATAAATTAACAATGTTTTCATTACTACATTTCAAGAATTTTTCTTTGTAATAAATATAAAATTTATAATATGTTTTAAATAGCTCATAATTAAAAAAAGGGTATTTATAATCTTGGGTGTTTTTTTGTTTCAATAGGAATAATGATGATTTATAAAAAAATTTATATGAAGACATTAGAAAAAAAAAGGAATCTTTTATTCTTCTTTTTTGTTGAACCCCATTAAAAATTCCTATAGAATCTCCTTCATATTTCCAATAATTCAAAGCTCGTTTTATGTAAAAACATATTAAAAATAAACAAAATTGCTTTTTATTTAATTTATCACAAAAATAATAAAATATATTTTTTTTCTTTACATTTTTATCAGAAATATATTTTATTTTTTGTATATTTATATGATCACTTAATTCATTATTTATTTTCCTCCTTTTCTCACTACTCCTATAAAAGGTGTTACTTTTCGTATGATCTGATACAACAGAACTTTCAAAAGACATATAAAATGATTTTTCATTTTTTACATTTGAAAAAAAATCAGTTATCTTTATTTGATTCTTTATTAATGGAATTAGTTTTCTTCCACTTTTCTTTTTTAAATAACTACTATATTTTTTTTCATTAGTCATATAATCATCTGATAATTTCTCCTTACCTGTAACATTTAATAAATAATTATTACTTTTAATTGTATCTTCAATTTTCTTACTTACCTTTTTATTCTCACATGTAAAAAAGTTTTTATTTTTATGTTGTTCAATATTCATACACTTTGATGTCTCATAAAAAGAATTTTTTTTATCGTATTCATTTAAATCTATTATGTTATTCAACTTTTCTGTACTAGAATTTTTTTTATAACTTTCTTTATTTAATTTACATTTTTCTATTTTTTTTTTATGAAATGAGGATATGCTATTTTTTTTTAAGTTATTGTAATAATCATATTCATCTATTAAAACACTTTTTTCTTCTTCATCAAAATTCTCATTATCATAATTTAAATTTTGTAATAACAAATAACCACATAAATAAAAAATTGTTCCTATTAAATTTTTGTATATTTTTATTTTCTCAAAATTATTCAAGATTTCAATAAGAATATTGGATGAAGTAAAAAAATTATTCATTCTTATTTCAAAAAGACACAATCTTATTAATGAATTTACATATATAATTGTCAGTTTCTTACAGAAACTAATATTTGCACATGTGATAATTAAATTTTTAATAAAATAAAATGGCTTATTATAAATATTTGCCTTGAATTCCATATATAAATCTATTATTGTGAGTAAATTTAAACATACACTTATATAATTTTTTTTCTTTAAAGAAAAATTATCATCTATCACATTTTTATTTAAAGCAAAAATAAAATAATCAGTTTCAAATAACTCTTCTGAAAAATAAAAAGAATTTTGAAAATAATAATATTTATAATACTCTGGATGAACATTTTCATAATAGTTTAATTTATTTTTGTATTCATGTATGCTTGTTATTGATTCATATTTGCTATTAATATAATTATCTATATACATTTCTTTTTTTATTTTAAAATAATTTAAAATCATATCATATATTGTTTCTATTTTATTTTCAAAGTAATATAAAAGATTTTTTTTATTCAAAACTTCCTCTTTATTTATAAATTCTTTTTTTTTGTTTCTTATATCTTCATTCAAATTATCATATTTATTTACTGAATTTTTTTTTTCACAAATATCTACTTTGACATTTTTTTTTTTAATTATCTCTTTTTTATTTATTTGAATTATTATTTTATTTAAAAAATCGCTTCCTAATGATTCTTTTTCTTCTTCATTATTATTATTTTTCTTAAAAAATACAAAATCACTTTTTTCTAAACTTTCTTCACTTGCAAAATAATCAAAATAATATGAGTTATCTTCATTTTCTATATTACTAGTAAAAGTGAAAATATTTTCTTGTTTATACGTATCTCCTAATTCAAAATCACAATGTAAATGTTCATTAGATATAGAAAACTCATTGTTAATAGTTTCATTAAAAACTAAATTATGTTCATTGTAGTATGATTCATCATTTAAATATGTTTCACCAATTAATCTACTACATAATTTTGTTTCATTATATATTTTATTATTTGAAATAAATGATGTATTAATTTTTTCGTTATTTATATTATGTGCTTCTCTTAATACATTATCATTTAATTTTACTTCTGCACATTTTTTATTATTTATCATTTTAAAATTATTTTCAATTTCTGCATTTTTTCTTAAAAAATAACTTAGAAAATCATTTATAAAATCTTTTTTTTTTTTTTTTTTTTTCCAAAAGTTTTGATATTGATAAAATGTTTCCTCTTTTTCTGATAAATTATAAATATAAAAAAATTCCTTAAATGATTGTGCATTCATCTTAATAACATTTTTTATATCACCAATAATATTCAAAGTTGAAAATAATATGTTGTTAGATAAATTTAAGAAAATAAATTGGCAAATTTGTAAATCATCATAATCTAAATAATTATAAAATCTAAAAATAATTATTCTTAATATTTCTGAAAAAAAATCTTTTAAATCTATTAAATTTATTTCATACAAAAGCATATATATTAAACATAACAATATTTTTATTTTTATTTGATGATTAGTTGGCCATATTTCGTTAAAGTTAAAAGTTTTTAAAAAATGTTTATAATTATTTGAAACATTATCTGAAAAATAATTAGAACATACATATGCTAAAAATAAAAATTCTAAACTAAAAAAATAAGAATCTTCATCAGAACATTTTAATGATCTTACAATTTTTGAATCATAAAATAAATTTCTATATTTTTCTTTATCTAAACCTTTTATATGATTTTGTAAATTTTTTTTTTTAAAATTGTTATTAAAATAATATTCTAGTTTATTTACAATTTCTTTTATAAAATTATTTATATTAAATAAAATTCCATTACAAATACCATCATGAACTAACTGGTTATTAAATATTTTCTGATCAAATGAATTCAAACTATTTTTACTGCAATTTATAAGAGAAACATTACTGCTATTTACTGTTATTTCTAAGATGTTAAAAATAAAGTTGAAACTTTTCAAAATTTTATTTATATATGATTTTTCAAATTTGTTTAAAAATTTGAAATCTCTAATATGATCACAAAAATATGTTTCATCACTAGAAGTGTAATTATTATCATATAAGTTATTTTTATGATCGTTTATATTTTTATTTTCTATCATATTTTTTTCACAATTTAACATTCTGTAGGATGATATCAATGTCTCATTATCTCCATTCATTTTCTCTTTTTTAATTAATTTCTTTTGTTCTGAACTTATATTTTTATTATTAAATGTATCAATATAATAATTATTATTATTATTATTATTATCACTATTGTTATTATACAAATTTAAGGAACTAAATATTTTTTTTTGATAAAAATAATTATTATAATGATTCATTTTTATATTTTCGTTAATTATTATATTATTTTTAATAAAATTAATTTTATCTTTTGGATAAAAATAAAGAAATTTAGATAGAAATGGAAAATTATATAACATATGACTAATATATATGCTTATGATGGACAGTAATTTAAAAGATGTTGGGTTACACAAGTACTTTTTTAATAATACAAAACATTTATGAAAAACCATATTTAAAATTTCAAACGCATATAAAATTTTATTTTTTTTTAATTCTATCAAATAAATTTTAAATAAAAATATAATTTCTGCCGTTAAAGAAAATGAAAAATCAAAATTCATCATAACCAATTTATAAGCTTTATTTAAAAGGTTACATTCCAGATATATATTAAATAAATTATGTTGAATATTAATTTGTTTTGAAGAAAATTTGTAAATAAAAACATTCTTATAAATATCTGTTTTACCATTTTGAATTAAATTTTGAATAGTACTTTTACTATATTTTAATTTATTTTGTTCCTTTTTTTTTTTTTTTTTTTCATTTTTACCTTTCATTTCCATATATAAATTTTCTGTTAAAATCAAGTAATCATTTTTTAAATTGTTGTAAATGTAGTTTAATCCCTGTAAGTCATTTAAAAATTTTAAACAAGGGTATTCATTATTACGTAAGTTTTTTTTTTTCATTTTTTTTAAATTATATAAATTTTTTAAATTTTCTATAAAGTTAAATATTTCAATAAACTGATATTTTGAAAATATTGAAAAAATATGTGGTGCTAAGATATTATTAACATTACGCTTAAAGTTTAATGATGGTAAAGCGTCAAATAAAAATGAAAATATGTTACTTTGATTTATCAATTGTTCATTTTTTATATATTTGTTTAAAAATATATATGCTCTTTTAAAAAAAATTTGTAGGTTTCTTATTATACATACTTTCTTTTCAGTACATAATTTTTCACATAAATTATTCTTGATTTTCTCAGAATACTTTTCATCTATTCGTGATGATACTAAGTAATCAATATTATTTAGGTTATACATATTATTAATGTTGTTATGATAGTTAATATTAAAATTATTATAGATCTTAGTATTAATATTATAGTTATTACTAATGATATTATTATAAATATAGTTACTATTAATACTTTTATTATTATTGATATTTTCACCTTTTTTATTTTTATTAATAATACTACTCCTATTTTGAACATTTGCTTTATTTTTCCACACTTCATTCATATCTAATCCAGTATCATTTGAATTTTTATATTTTATAAGAATTGTATTTTTTTTTGATACATTTTTAATATTATTTTTATTATTAATATGTATTTCATTTTTGTTAATGGAATAGGAATAAAGTTTTCTTTTGATTATTTTTCGCAAACTGTTTTTTTCTTTGTTATAATCTTTTTTGTTTTTTTTAATTGCATTTTTAGAAGTATTATCACATCTATTATATTCGTATACTAATTGATTAACTTTGTAATTCTGAATTTTTTTGTATAATTTAAGGTAAAAATAATGAAAAAAATTTATTTGTATAAGATAAATAAAGTTAATCATTTGAACGTTTAAAAAAAAATTGTCATAAAAGTGCATATTTCTACTAGAACAAATCATGTAAAAATAGTCAAATAAATTTTGTAATAATATAAAATTGTTATTTAAAATAATATTAGTAATATTTTCATATTTATATTTCTTAATTATGTCTGATAAAAAGGAATTTTCATGTTTAGATGAAATACCTTTATTGAGAAATTCGTGGTTTTCTACAACTTCTGAATTAAAATAAGAAGAAACTAGTAAATTTTTCATACAAAAAAAAAAAAAAATTTTTATCATTAATTTTTTATTAATAGTTACATTTAGGAGAACGTTTAAAAATTTAAACCAAAAAAAAAGTAAGTTTTTATCAATATTTTTACATATATAACTGAATAACCGTTCTATTGTAATTGAATGTACAAAACTGTCATCAAACGTTTTTATATTTATAATACATTTATTAACTAGTTGAAAACATTTGCTCCCATAAACTTTTTTTGTACATAAATGTATAAAATTTTGAATTTTTGAGTAACCTGGTACTTTTTTCTTATTTAATGCGATATCACAAAACACACAATTTCTCATATTTTTTATACCTGTATTTATATATTTTTTTCTATTTTTTAAATAATTTGTATCATAGATTCTTTTTTTATTACCTAAATTATTTACATTAATATTACTATTTGTTTTCAAAAAATCATAATGTATTTTTATTTCATCATTTTTCTCTTCCTCCTTAATATGTTTATAGAAATCATATAAATCATGGCATATATTAAAGTCTTTTCTATTTAAAGAAAAATTTACTTTTACAAAGTTTAATAATTTTTCATTCAATAAATCAATATCTATTTTATTTTTTATTTGAAAATCTTCATTTAAATTACAACTTATCTCATCATCAGATATATCATAACAATTTTCATCAATTGAATTTTTATTAGTGTTTTCATAACTTAAGTTTTTTGCATTATTGAAAATTTTATTATTACATAATTTTCTATTATTTCTTATATTAGTGCATTTTTTGTTATTATCTTTTGAAAAATTATTTTTATTACTATAATTAATAATACTATTTTTAGTACTGCTATTTTTAGGATTACTATTTTTATTATTATTTTTATTTTTAATATTGTCCGTTATTATTTTATTCCATGAATACAAAAAACAACCAAATATAAATGCTTCGAGTTCTATATCTATAAAATTTATTTTACATTTTCTCTTTTTTTTATTATAATAATTCATTTTTGTTATCCTTTTTTAATCTTTTTCTTTTTTTCTTTTTTTTTTTTTTTTTTTATTTTATTCCTATGTAAAATATTACTTCTTCATAACATACGTATTAAGTTATTTTTTTGAAGAATTTCATCACATATATATTTACATATATTATGAGAATAATATTTTACTATTTTTATTTATTTTCTCCTATATTTTATTTTTTCTTTTCCAATTTAATCTTATAATAATTCACTTATAATATATCTTCATATTTTCATATAATCATCATAAACAAAATAATATATATATATATATATATATATGCAAAAATAGATTAACATATACTTTAATAAATATATATATTATATATGTATATATATATATAATAAATATATATATATATATATATATATATATATATATATATATATATATATACTTTTTTTTTAAATTATTTAATTTAACCAGTACAAATAAAAATATATACAGTAATTTTATATTCAAAATAATTTATATAAAAAAATGTTTATCCAAAAATACATAAATATCATAAACAAAAACGTCTAAAATATAAAAAATTCAATTAACAAATAGACAAAAAATAAAAACATGATAAAAAAAAAAAAAAATACAAAAAAAAAAAAAAAATNATACATAAATATCATAAACAAAAACGTCTAAAATATAAAAAATTCAATTAACAAATAGACAAAAAATAAAAACATGATAAAAAAAAAAAAAAATACAAAAAAAAAAAAAAAAAAAAAAAAAAAAAAAAAAAAAAAAAAAAAAAACATAAAATTAAATTTCTATTTAAACAGTATTGGAAATATTACTTAAAATATATATTTTAAAACTATTTTAAAAAAAAAAAAAAATGTTAAATGTAAATCTTAACATTGAAAGTTTTTATAAAAATTTTAATTTTAAGAATCATTCCAACTGAAATATAAAAAAAAAAAAATAAAAAATAAAATAATAAAATAAAATGATATAATATATTAAATGATAAATATAAATAAGAATTAAAAAAATAATTATAGGAAATATGTCTTAAACATATTTAAGTATTTTATTTTATATTTAAAATATATATATGAATAATATAGAAATTTTATCAATATATAAATATATTTATATATACGAATGTATATACGTATATATATTATCATATATCATTAATTTGTAAAAAATTTTTTTAATTAAACAAAACGAAAACCTACTTTTAAGAAGAGTAATTTCTTTATATTTCTAAGAGATGAGAATATACTTGTAATACATATATTTTTGTTTCTCCTTTTTTGTTTTGAAGGAGTGTAAAATAATTAAAGAAAACTTATGAATTATGTAAATATATTTTTACATAATATTTTTCCTACATATTTATTATTCTTACAAAGTTCATAAATTAGGTATTTTTTAATTTAAATGAATGATGCTAAAATTAAAGCAACCTTTCTTTTACTTTTCTCTTTTCTTTTTAAAGTTAAAATTTAATTTTGTTTTTAAATATATATATATATATATTTTTTTTTTTAATTTTTTAAAGGAGATAAAAAAAAAAAAAATTAAATAATAAAATAATTTGATGTTTGTAACAAATGTACAGAAAATATTCTCCGTTTAAAAAAATTACCATTTTAACATATACTACGTAAAAAAATAAGAGAAAAAAATCAGTAATCTGTTGATTAAAATATATATCTTTCTTTTAAATAAAAAAAAGAAGAATTTTTTATTAAAAAAAAAAAAAAAAATGTTGAAAAGAAGAATATTATTAAAATGTAAGGTGTTATGAAGGAAAGATAAATTTAAAATTAGAGAAAGGACGTATAGCAATTAGATATATATAATATATATATATATATATTTATATACATATATATTTATTTTTTTTTTTTTTTTCGTTTTAAAATGTATTAATAATTAAAAATTAGAAAGTATGGAAACAATTTTCATATATTTAATATACTTAAAGAATATATATAAAGAAAAAATACAAACATAAATAAAATTACATAACTTATTAAAAAAGACAAAAATTAAAGAAAAAAATATTAAGAAAGTTATAACATATTTAACCATTAAATATAAAAAAGTTAAAAATTACAAATTTAACAAAATATAAGAATGTAAACTATTTTAATTACACTTAAAATGATTAAGTTTTTTAAATATATAATATAAAAATTGTAATTTGCTTAATAAGCGATAATTATTAGAATGTATAGGATATATATAAAAAAAAAAATAAAAATAAATAATTAAAATTTATTAATATAATTTAAGTTAACTACAATTTTACTGAAGTACAAATATTATACAAAATAAAAAACAAATATGAGTAATAATACTATTTACACAAATATTAAAAATTACATTGATAATAATATAAAGAAAAATACTAATATTGAAAAGGAAAGTGATATATTTAATAATAAATTTATAAACATTTATATTGATAAAAAAATAAGGAATAACAAAATATATTCTATAAATAAAATTATATATCTTTTTTTAAGAAATAATATAATAAAAAAAAAGAAGACCTTTAAAAACATAAACAAATACTTATTTGTAATTAAAATTATTTTTATAGTTCTTTTAAAGAATAAGAATAGTTTTAGAAAGGTATCTTTTCTTTTAAATAGATTTTTAGTAAAATATATTTATGAACTTTTTATATTTATAAGTAAAAGTTTATATTTAAAAAAATTTAAAAAATTCAAATATACTTTTTTGAAAAAGTTATTTAACCAATATTATATACCTCCAGGAAATTTGCTTATATATATACTAACAAAGAGATATTTAATATATATTTATCATATAATATATGAACATATTTCTATTCTTTTAAACCATAACTACAACTTCAGTAAAAAAAAAGATTTTTCCTTATGCATAAAGAATAGCCATCATTTTGATAAAAACAAAAATAATAATATTCATAAAAAAAAATTTGATTATTTTCATAACAAAAAAAAACTACTTTGGAAAATTTTACATATATATACGAAGAAAAAATGTGTGTGTAACATTCATAAAAATAAGATAAAAATTAAATTGCAATTAAAAAAGAAAATCCAAGATTTATTTCCCAATGAGTTTAGGAAGGATTATAATAACTTTTTAAATTTTATATATGTTTATAAATATAATCCATTTGATTACTTAAAAAAAATTCATAAAGAAAAAAGAAGGATTACTTACAAAAATTTAAATTTTTCTGTATTAAAGAAAAATAAAATACAAGTTCATATAACTGGAACTTTTTTTAAAAAAAATTTTTTTTTTAAAAATAATAACAACTACAAAAAAATATATATAAAATGTAAAACTTTTTTTTATAGCATTTTACCATTTATAGACAATAAGAAAAAGAATTTCATTATTCACAATGAATATAAAATCATAAATAATTATCTACTTAATAAATTTGAATATTTTATGTTAAAAAAAAATTATTTAAGTTTTTGTTTTATAATTTATTTTTATATTTTAAAAAATATTAATAATACTATAAATTATAATGTAGATATAATTAACATATGGAATATTATAAAAAAAAATAATGCCTTAATATTTCCATGTGATAAATTAAATAACTTTTCTTTATTATCAGTCAATATATTCTTATATGCTAAAAGGCATAGGCTTTTATATCTACTAAGAAAATGTAATTATAAGAAAAGAATTTTCTCAAATAAAAAGAAAAAAATCCTATTTAAAGTAGGCAATAACGGAATTATTACTAAAAATATTAATCATAAGATATTTTTATATAATTTTAAAAAAAATGTATTATGTAAATATAATATTAAAAGTATATTTAAAAAATACTGTTATATAAAAAAGAAAGTAGAAAATTTTTTTAAAAGAGAAAATAATATTAAATATAACTATGATAAAAAATTAAAAAACCATTTTATTAATTTTATTTTTAGAAAATGTAATTATATAAGTTTTATATTTAATTATAATGATAATCATTATATGTGTCAAAATAAATTTATTATTAATAATATGATGTTACACACAAAAAAAAACATAAACTTATGGATATCAAAAGAAAAAAAAAAGAAACTATCTTTTTTTTTTTTAAACAACAGAAAAAAATTTAGAGAAATAAAAGTGCAAACTTATAAAGATGAAAATGGAAATAATAAATATAATTACATAATTGATTTGATAATTAAACTAGTAAAAAAAAAGAGATTTATTATGAACTTCTGTTGTAAAATAAAAGACATTGTTTATAATATCAGAAACAAAAATTTTCAAGAAATTACAAAATACTTGTTAATTTTAAAAAACTTTATAAATAATTATCAGAAATTATTTTTTGAAGTTTTAAAATTCTTGAAATTCTTTAAGTTATCTTCTTTTAAAAAGTTAAATAATAAGTCTTTTTATCATAATGATGATTTTTTTAATGAAAAAATTATGAACATATATACGAAGAGAAACAAGATTAATATGAAATTCAGTCCTCATTTTTTTAAAAAAAAGAAAAATAAGATATTTATAGAAATATGTTTGCTATTTATATATTTAGTAGTTAATGTTATTAAGTCTTATTTATATTTATTATACAGTAGCTTAATGAAATATAAAGAAAATGTTAAAAAAAATTATATATTATTTAAAATTATAATTCTTAACAAATATGGTATTTTATTTATGAAAAGGAAAATATATCATTCTTCAAATATTAAGAAAATAAAATTGACCAACACTTTATATAATAAAAATATATTTTATAGGAGTAATTTATTTTTGTGTATTTATAGAATTTTAAACAGCATAAATATAGTTAATTTTTCCTTTATATTTTTTTGCTATACTAAAAAAATAAAAAGTTTAAAAGTTATTTTAATAAACTTTTTATTAATATTTTTAAGATTAATGACAAAATATTTTAGTAATTATGATTTTTGTTCAAAAGGAAATTGTATTTTAAACAAAAAAAAAAAAAAAGAATATATAAAAAAAAGTATTTACAAACTAAAAACAAAAAATATAATTTTGTTAATTGAAAATCAAATTGTATCTATTCTATTAAAAAAAAGAATTTTTTTTTATTTTGAAACCTTTTTTATTTTAAATAGTAAAAAAAAAAGGACAAGATTTATTTCACTTAAATCATCCATGTTTATTATCAATAGTATTATTAAAAATAATAAAAAAAAATATATGTTATTATATAAATATTATAGCATATACTTAGAGTTTCTTATTTTAGCAAAAAAATTAAAGATTTTTAAGAAGAAAAATATTTTTTTTAAAAATAATTTTCCATTATTGGACGATTTATGGTTTCATAGAATAATTCATTTTCAACAAAGACATTTTCATCAAAATGATTTCTATTTAAATATGGTAAATAAATATTTCTTATTATTTGTTATAACTTGTTATTTAAGGAAATCAAAAAAAATTTTAAAATTTCAAAAAATATTTTTAAAAATACTTATACTTTTATCATTACAAAAGAATTTTACATTAGAATATTATTTTTATAAAATAAAAATTTTAGAATTTATGTTGCATTTTACAAATTATATGATGGATAGAAAAAAAAAAAATTATGCAAATTTAAAGTTAAATAGTAATTGTAATATAAGTAATAGACATAATAATCTACATATAAGAAAATTTGAAATTAAAGAAAAGAATAATAAAATTTTAGAAACATGTAATTCTAGATCAGACATCGGTAGGAATATTAAATATAATAATAGTAAAAGAAAAAAAATATATATTCCTCCTTTGCTATTAAAAAATATCTGTGATTCTTCAGGTTGTTTCATTAAAAAAAGTTCAAATGTTTCATCGCTTTACTCTAGAAAATCAGGTAGTTCTTTTATATTTGAAAACTTCAATAATTCAACAAAATGTTGTAATTCAAATTTTTTTGATTTTGGAAAAAGGAAATTATTTCTAACAAGAAACAATTATTATGAAGAAAATTGTTTCAAAAATAAAGAGAATTGCAAAAGTATAGAAAGAAAAAATAAATTTAGACATGATAGAAAAAAGGAGTATAATATTTTTTTAAAAAAAATAAGAGTTATTCCATCAATAAACTGTTTTAATATACAAAAAAAGTCAAAAAAAAGAAAAATTACTGAGGAATGTCATATAATTAGTTATGTTATTTTGTTAATTTTTTCTTTAATAATCTCTTACAATAAAAAAGATATAAATGATTTTTATTTTAATGAAAATTATTATGATGAATATAAAAGCAAAAATAAAAAAATTGAAAAGAAAATAATTAAAAGAAATCAAAAAATAAATACTTTATTAGAAAATTACTTAAAAATATTAAATAATTACTTTTCCTTTCATAAGTTAAATAATTCAGAAGATTTAAATATTATGAGAATTGTACAGTCATACTTAAATCATAAAAAAAATAATAAATTAATAAATAGAATAAAAAAATATGTAACAAATAATACACAATTAAATATATTATATAACTTATCTGTATCTAAAAGTCACAAATCTTTGAAATTTTTTAAAAAAATAAAAGATGGATCCTATGGAAATATATATATGTGTTATTATTCTATTTTTCAAAATAATCCATTTATTATTAAGTTAATAAATATAGAAAAATATGTTAATGAAAATTATATGTTCAAAAATATTTATAATGAAGTAAAATTTTTATTGAAATTTCAATTTAAAAATATGAACATATGTCAAATATATGAATATGGAATAATAAGAAATGATAATGATTTTTCTTATTATATTTTAATGAAATACTATGATAATAATTTAAGGGAATTTATGAATGTATTACATAATAATTATTTAAAAAAAAAAGAGGCAATTAAAACTAAATCACTATTATTTTCTTCAAAAAGAACACTATTATTACAATTAAAAAAAAAAAAAATTCTGAAAAAATTGCTAAAAAAAAAAAAGACATACTATTTTAAAGGGAATATTTATAATAAAAATGTTAGGAGTTTTTATTATCAATTATTAATAAAAATTAGCTATATAAAATTAAATGATTTTCAATATATAATATTTATTTTAAGTATTTTTAATCAAATTCTTGAGCAAATTATAAATATTCATAAAAGAGGAATTATTCATTTTGATATTAACACATATAACATATTGATGAATTATAAAAAAAAAGTTCCATTATTATTTTATAATAATAATTATATAAATGATTTTCCTCATAGAAAAAAATGTAATAATATTAAAATATTGTGTTTTCATAAAAAATTATTTTCTTTAGTAAAAACTAAGAAAAAATATATTTTTAAGGAATTAATTCTTAAAAGGAATAAATGGTTGAATAAAAACTTCAAAATATTATATGTTCCATCAGTTGTTATAAATGATTTTGGTGAAAGTAAATCTTTTTATAATAATAAAAATTTTCTTTTTTTTAGAAAAAATCGAGGTAATGAAATATTAGCATCACCTGAATTAATGATTAATAATGTAAAAAATGTTAATAAAAAAAGAAGTAATTCATCCATTATTCCTAATTATAAGAATTACAAAAAGATTGCCTATAGAAATAATGCATTATCAATTTGTAAAAATAAAACATATAAAAAAAGAAAAAAATATGTCTTTTTGAATAATCTATCTATATTTTCATTTTATAAATACGTATCAAAAATAAGAATTATGATAATAAAAAGGTTAAAGAAAAAATATAAATTTCAAAAAAGAAAAGAAAAAATATTTAAAAGTGATGTTTGGCTATTGGGTATGTTATTATTTGAGATAATTACTAATAAAAATTTAATGAATGTACATAATTTTTTATATATAAAAATATATGAAAAAAAAGATATATTGGATAGGATTATTGATAAAACATTTAATAATCAATTTAAAAAGATAAGAGAATTATTGAATTTTTTCTTTCAATTTGAATTAAAAAAAAGGAAAAATTTGAGATTTATATATAAGCAATCGAAAATTCTCTACAATTTTTATATGATAAAATTAATAGCAGAAAGTAAAATGTTAAAAAAATTAAAGAAATATAGCAATAATATAATTTGTAAATATTCTAAAATAAAGAGAAAATCGTTATATGATATGAAAAGTGAGGATGTTTATTTAATTAATAACAGTTTTACACATAATGAAAAAAATAATATGACTTTGTATATAAAAAAAAGAAAAAAGAGGTTTGAACATTGTTATTCTATAAAAAAAATGTTTAAATATTTCATTTCTTACATACAGAAAAAAATTTATTCTTTTAATAAATATAATTTTAATAGTTATTCAGTTGATCAGAACAGTTTTAATAATTTATCAATAAAATTATTTAATCTCAATAATTCATCAAATATTTTTTTTTCCATAAAAAAAGTTAATAAAATTTTAAATTTCTTGGTAAAGCATAATATAGTGAGGGTTTATAACTTTTATTTTATTTTAAAGATAGATGAAAAAATTAAAGAATTTTTGTTTATAAATAATTTTAATAAACATGCTATTTTCTACTTTCCTTCTATTTTTCACGATCTTGATTTGTTCTATCACTTAAGTGATAGTATTATTAATGTTCAAACCTTATATTTTAAGAAGAGATTATTTTATAAAAAAAACAAGAATACAAAAAAAATATTATTGAGATATTTAAAATTTCCTATTAAAAAAAACAAATTGATTTTTAATAATTTTTATAAAATTTCAAAAATAAGAATTTATAAAAATTATTTGAAAAATCTGTCTTATTTTTTTCTTTTCTTTTTTATTAATGTTCAACTGAAACTTAATATGAATTCAAATTATGAAAAAAAAAAGTATGTTTTTATTTTAAATAATCAACAAAATAAAAATTGTTCGTTTTTAAAAAATCCTTTTCCTTATAATTTTTCAAATATTTTTTTACTATTTTTTTTTTGTGTTTTATTCAAAATAAATTTAATAGAATTATTTTTTTTTTTTAAAGGGCATACAGCTATCTCCTTTTCTGATATGGATATAAGTGTTTTGCAAACAATTATAAACAATTTTTTTTAAATTTATTAAATTTTTTTTTTTTTTTTTTTTTTTTTTTTGAAGAGATATATATATATATTTAAAATATTTGCTATTTTTGTCTTAAATAAATGTGCATAAAATAATAAAAGTATTTTTCCCTTTATTATCATTTTTAAAAATATATAAATGAAAATATTTATATACTTTCTATTAATATGTATACTAAACGTTACATAATTGATTCTATATATGCACATTCACATTTTAATATATTTTTTTCTTCTAAATATTAACTTTTTTTTTTTTTTTTATAAATATTTGTATTTTATAAAAGTTAATTTTTTTAGTAATTTGAAAAAGAAATATAGAATAAAAATAAAGTTATTTTAAATAAATATGAATAAAAAAAAAGTAATAAAAAAATTAAACATTAGTTAAATAATAAAATAAGAAATTAATTATAAAAAAAAAAAAATTTCTTTTAAAAACAAGATAATTAAAAATGATTTGATTTTTTTAATTTCTAAATTATTTCAACAAGTTCTATAAAAATAATATTTTTATTTATAATATTATTTCTAATTTATTTACTCACTGTTTTTATTTTTTCCTAAAAATATTACCTCAATAATTACTATAAATGAAACATAAAAAAAAATATTTTTTATTCCTTTCAAATTAATTATTCTAAATTTATTCAGAATCAATTAAAAGTAAATCTGTAACAAAAAAGTTTTTTTGTGAAAACATATTTTTAAAATAATGAATATAAAAAAATATATTATTATTATAATTGAAAAAAAACTTACCATCTAAATCATTAATATTTTCTTTGTCTTTTAGCTCCTTGAGCATTTTATTAAATATATATTCAGCTAATGACATATAATTGTTATCACTGAAAAAAAAAAAAAAAATTTATACTCATTATTACATATTTTATTTTATTTTATTTTTTTTAATGTTACTTTAAAACAGTTTTTATATCTGAAAAATGAGCAACATATCCATTTGAAAGATATAAGATATGAGTACACCATTTATCCATATGATCAAAGATATGGGTAGAATAAATAATAATGCAATTATATTTAATACATTCCTTTTTTAAAAATCTAAAAATAATAAATATTGTATATATATATATAAATATAAATATAAATATATATATATATATATATATATATATATA